GACACAATCTTTCTTTCTGAAAGTAAAGAGGATTTGAAGCACTTACTGGTGATGAACAAAGACTACAGTTTTCAGTATGGATTATACCTCAACCTAAAGGAAACAAAAATCCTTGCAACTGGACCAATAAACAACATCAGGATAAACAGAGAAAAGATTAAAGTTGTCAAAGATTTCATTTTATTGGATGCACATCAACACCCAGGGAAGCAGCAATCAAGAAATCAAAAGACATATTTCATTAGGCAAATCTGCTACAAAAGACCTTTTTTAAAATATTAAAAAGCAAAGATGTCACTTTGAGGACTAAGATGCACCTGACCCAAGCCATGGTATTTTCAATCACCTCATATGAATGTGAAAGCTGGACAATGAATAAGGAAGACAAAAGCAGAATTGATGCCTTTGAATTACGGTGCTGGTGAAGAACACTGAATATATACTGGACTGTCAGAAGGAGGAAGAAATCTGTCTTGGAAGAAGTACAGCCAGAATGCTCCTTGGAAGTGAGGATGGTGAGGTTTGTCTTACGTAGTTTCAATGTTATCAGGAGGGACTAGTCCCTGTAGAAGGACATCATGCTTGGTGAAACAGAGGGTCATGAAAAAGAGGAAGACCTTCAAAGAAATGGATTGCCACCGTAGCTGCAACAGTGGGCTCAAACATTACAAGGGTTGTGAGGATGGCGCAGGACTGGGCCTTGTTTCAGAACTGACTTGATGGCACCCAACAACAATAACAATCTTTATGGGAGCAGATCGCCAGGTCTCACCTGGAGCAGCTGGTGGATTCCAACTGCCAATCTTTCAGTTAGCAGCTGAGCACTTAACAGCTGTGCCACTAGGGCTCTCTGGACATCTAGTTTTCATTAAATTAAAAACTTAACTAAGAAAATAGTGATGTAAGACCAAGCATTCCTTAACTATGTTTTGATGTCCCTCCATTTTTGAAGTTGAATAATTTAAGGAAACAGAAATTTTTTATAAAATGGAAAACTTTAATTGTTTAAAGCAAAGGCACAAGTAAACATTCAAGTTATCATGTACAATGTTACAATAAAAATTCCAACAGTAAAGTGAAACACATTATAACTTTGCATCTCTATAGTAAACCTATTGTATTATTCTATCATCTTTTCTTTGGAGTGAAAAGAAGGGGTACATCAATGAAAGTGATATAAAAACGTGGACTGTAAATAGCATCCACTTCATTTCAACCACAAATTTCAATTTCCACTGAAAGCTCACCTTAATTAAAATGACTTATCGTTTTGTTAATGAAATAGCAGCAATAACTTTCAAGCTAAAACTCAGTTTTAATAAAGGAAGTAACACATTGATTTCATGAAATGTTAGCTATGTCTGGTACTACACAAAAATCCAGCTGGCCATGAAATGGCTTTATTAAACCACAATTCAAATACATATTTTACTTTAAATCTGAAAATTATAGTGGCTTATGTAAAACATAAGGATAATAAGTTACCAAATTATTTCTTAAAATGTCAAAAATAAAATACTTGAAAAAGGTCTAGACTTTATTTTCAATCCAAGGCACTATCTGTAGAGTAACAAGCTGCAGTCATGTTCGGAGCTGAGAAAAAGTTGTGTGTCCTTCCCCCTCCCATGCCATCCCCAAAGAAGAGGTGCTTGGTAAGATGTTTAAACCCACTGGCTAGTTAGTTTGAACTTGATGTCTCAATTAGTCAGCAAACACGAGATCCTTGATTTCCTTTTCCAGGAAGGAAAAAAAAAAATTACCATTAGTTTTTAAAGAGGCTGTCTCACAGTGTTACCTTGATTTAAAAGGTCTCTGGTTCATTACCTCAATGCAACATCCGTTTTATTCAGATCACTCGTAGCCTCTCCCTCAGCATTTCAACCCAGGATGGTGATGACACCAGGAAGGTAACCATCCCAAGGGAGCACATTTCTGAATCATTTAACTCACTTTTCCCCCTTGAATATTCCTCAACTCTGAATGTTTAACTGAGTAACATTCCAATGACACAAAATACCAGAGATTAAATAAAATCAACAGAACATTGTCCAATACCTCAAAGTCTTGAACAATATACTTACATTAATTTGAATGAAATGGAGTAAAATCAGGGCATAGTTTTCTATCGCATCCTCAAGGCCAGAAAGATTTAAACCCTTTGAAGGAGTATTTGTAAAGATCTCGAATGAGGAGATTGTTCTCATTCTCATTGTCTAAATTACAGGGATATCAATGGAATGTTTCCTTAACATGTAAAAAAAAAAAAAAAAAAAAATCCTAACCAGAAACAGCACTTAAAAAATTACCTAAGAGTATCTTTCAATGTTTAGGATTCAAACATGATTCTAGGAAGATGGTCTTATTTTAAAGTCAAATTATAACATTTATTCACTGAAGCATACCCTGACGGTCAACGAGGCATGCTCTGGGGAACAGCGGTAGGATTCTTTCTCCTTCTCTAAAATTTTTGTCCTACCCAGTTTTTCTATGGAGTCCAAGACTTCATCATGTAAAGTGGCTGGCACACTTTCCATTTCGAATACTTCTGTGTATAAGATCCTCCACTAGGACATTTTAAGTTTCCATTTCTGTAGTTCAATGGCAAAAGTAAATGGTTTGTTCTGCTGTGCCAAGCTGAAGAAGTAAACCTGTATTTTGGAGTATCTAGATGAAGGGTCAGCACACTTTTTCTGTAATATTTTAGGTTTGTGGGCCACACATTTCTGTTGCAACTACTGAACTCTGCTGCTGTTGTGCCAAAGCAGCTACGGATAACATGTAAATGAATAAGCATGACTGTGCTCCAATAACACTTATGAACACTGACATCTGAATTTCATGTAATTTTCATGTGACACAAACATTATTTTGATTTTCTCCACAAGTATTTAAAACTGTAGAAACCATTCTTAGCTTGTGAGTCATGTGCAAACAGGCTGGATTTGGCTCACAGGCTGTAGTTTGCCAACTCCTGGTCTAGATCTTTCAAATTTCTTAATGGGGCATTAAAGTAATAAAGAGTCCAAGAATCATCTTACTTGGGCACTGAAAACCTTCTAGGCTGAAAGTATAGAACCTAAAAGAGAATCCCAAAGCACTAGTCAGACTATTCTAAGAGTAGTATCTACACTCAAGTTATATATGTGTGTATGTGTGTGTAAAAACACATATACATAAACAAATTTTAATCAAATTTATTTAAATCATTGTCAGAAGAGTAGGGAATTGACAAATTCATTAGCTGAATCTTCTCAAAGGCTTTGGTGTCAGACAGATCTGGATTAAAATCTTGGCTCTGCTACTTACTTGCTTATGACCTGGGGGGAATCACTTAACCACTAGAAGTTAGTGCTATGGATACAGTAGGCTTGTTTTCAATTTCATTTCTTAGGCAAGCAAATAGCTACAAAGGGTTTGCTGGAAAAGGAAAAGACTAGTCCATAATGTACAGTAAGGCTTAACTCCTGATTTTGGACAAAAAACTCTTTTTGCCTCTTGTACTCCATTTTATCATATAATTTTTTTTCCTGCATGCAACATATTGTGCAAAATTGTAGCTCCATACATTCTGAATTCTGCTTTCCTCTTATCCTCCAAGGATATTTTTTTCATAGGCTGCTAACAAAAATTAGACTGGAAAGTATTTAGTTAACACATTCCTTTTGTCTTTCCGTAGTGTAAAGTGTGATTTGTATGAAGTGTAATTTGTATGAAGTGTTTCCTCTAATTTATCCATGACAGGCAGTCAGTTTTCTACAAAAAAAAAAAAA